GTGACTTACATAATTCATGTGATTTTTCTTATCACGGGCGTTAGTAATCGGGAAATATAATAGCTCAATCGCCGACATCATCAGGGTCACGGCTGTGCCGTGACGCCTGATGATATCTCTGATTTCGCGGTAAATAACTAATACATATATAATAGTCCAAATCTTCATTCAAAAGAACAAGATTTGGAAATTCCTGATGGAAATTAAAAATTTAAATTATTATCGATCTTAAATAAATTATTTAGATTAAAATTATTATTGATATTTGACAAAAATCTCCAGTTTTGTTTGATGTATTTATAAAAATATTTATTTTAACAATAAAGTTATTACATAAGTTGGTTAAATAAGTTCACATTTGCTCCGTTCCCACCATCCTAAATTCTCTTCAACATTCGTTAATTTACTTAATAAATGATTCCTTTCTTCTAATGCTTGATGTTCAAATAATCTTCAAAACCTTGAAGAATTATCTTTGAATAAGTCTCTTTCATATCTAAAATATTTTTGCACAATTTAACGTGATGTTATGATATTTTTCACACATATAATACCATTCTCATCTACACCTACAAATTCAATATAGAAATTGGAACTGGTTAAAGTATTCGGTTAACAAATATTTTTGCAATCTTAATTATTGAATTTCGGCCGGAGTTAAAATCAACCAGTTAACCAACCTCTACTTCAATATCTATTGTTGGTGTGGATTTGATTTTTTTTTTTTTTGTGATGAGAAGACCGTATGATAAGGTGTCTAATTTGGTAAGATGCGACTAGTATAAAGAGTATATGCAGGAAATGATTTTATTATTAGTCCAATAGCTAGTGCATTATAGGAATGCGTTCGAGTACAACAAGAGAATGTTGTATTTCAGTATTGAAAATGCAAGTGCTAATTATACACGCTCGATCAGATGTCATTGTAAAACGAATAATTAAATATGATAACATTTTATAAATGAAAATGAAGCAATAAAGCAGTGACGTATCATGGGATTCTATGTAGCTCATCTATTGAGTACTTTGATAGAGTTCTAATAAAAAAAGAAAGAAATTAAGGACGTGCAAAGTAATCACGGTTGTCATACAGAAATCACATATAATGCATTTGGGCCCTTGTTTGACAAAATATTTTAGGATCATGTATAGGTTAAAGAGTTGTGTGAATGGTGGTTGAAGTCATGATTATGTTCAAATAATGTTCCGGAATCCAATTCACGAATTGACGTCTAATATTTGCTTCGCGTAAAAATTTTGTATAATCAATGGCATTGTTGAAAATCCCCAAATGTTGAATTTAAATTTTATTATTTAGTGAAAAATCAAATTTCAAAATTTGTTCGTTCATACAAATTTGTGCAGTTTTTGTGACAAAAAAAAAAATAAAAAAAAAATAAAAAGTTACCAGAAATTGAAATGTCCTTAGGACCTGTACGTTCATAATGTTGGAAACCAACTGTACTAGAAGGGTTTGCACATTTATTTACAAACCTTAGATTTTTAACAAAGAAAGGTTGTATTTTATTAGCTTTTATTTTTAATAGATAAATTTTTGGTAAAGCTAATTTTTTTTGTTTTTTTGATGGATGGGGAGGGGAATACTTGGATTTTACCAAATCAATTAATTTAATTTATCCATTTTTAGAAACAATTAGAATTAAAAGTGCTTAAAAAGTATTTATAAATTGGGGTTGCGCAATAGGACCAGAACACATTGAATTATAATTGCGCCTATTACAAGATTTTTACATTTTGCGCTTATAAAAATATTTTGAATTTATATCATTGCAAAGACTTCGAACAAGTATATCTAAAAATAATTGTTTCTATTTCCAATCTTGAATTTTTATATTTACGATTTTTGTGTGTAACAATTTCTAAATTTCGGTATTATCATATTTGTAGTAGGAATACATAAATGTAAATTAATGCTACCTTTGATATAGGTTATATTTGATTATTTTCCTGCCGGCATTGAATTAAGTAATTCACCGTCCACCAAAACTAATATTTATTATCCCAGGGACACATAAATTTTCGAAACAAATTTTTCAAAAGGTTTTGGTCGGTTAAATACATTATTAAGTCAGGCATATGATGTTTAATTTTGGTCAAATTAAGGAATCGATATTTTTAGTCGAAAAAAATTTTTGGTCGAAATACAACGTGACATATGCAAAATAAATTGCCTCAATGCATTGCATGACATAATCTCTAAGTATTCTTTGTATTTATATAAATTTTTTTTTTTTTTTTTTTTTTTTTTTTACAAAGAGGGCACTATTACTCATATTTTTAGCTCATAATTGTTATTCGAATCTTTTTCTTCTGGGAATATAGCAAACCTGTATAGTATGGTTTTTTTTTTCATATATCGTATAGTATTAGAACCATACAAGAATGGATTATTTATTATGAAAAAACCATACATGTATAGTTTTTAAAGCATACTTACCATACATACATTCAAAAAGTACCGTACAATACATACATTGCTAACCATACTGTACAGGTTTGTGTAATACCCTTTTCTTCTTCTAAGAATGTACTTAAATTATACTTTTACTATTAAATATATTTAATTTATATTGTAAGATTATTTAATGATTTAAGTAACTGAATTTCTTTATATAATAAAAAATCATCACATTCTTAATAAATTAATAAATAGATTGTGTCATAAGTGAACAGTAATCAACACTTTCGGATTCTGTTTGAAGTTATGTTGAGTTTGACGGAAGAACTCTTGGGAAGCAATAACGACATCTGCAAGAAACACTTTGACGGCTTACAACATGTTTCATTTCACAAATAATAAAGTTTTTCGCTTGGATTTTTGGCCATTCGCAAAAACAATAAAGAAATCATATCTGAATCTATTATCCTATTATCTACCTCAACAATTAAATTTAAGTATAAAATCAATTTGAAACATCTAATTAATTCTTTTTGTAATTCATTTAATAATCAATGAAATAGGGACGCGTGCTGATCAGCGTCAATATTTTAAACACAACCACCTGAAATAATATTTAATAAATAATTACATAATTTGATGAAACATTTGTATGATTTTAATAGTAAACCTCCCATTTAAAAAATTTTTATTGGTTTGGTTATTTATTTAATAATTTTTTTTTTCTCATCTAGCATTCCAATGCATCATCTATTTTTATTACCGAGTATTCATTTGATATTATCATAAACTTAAAAATGACGAAATGTCATGGTGTATGATCATACGAACATAATTTGGGTCATGGACCAGCAAAAAGGACCTCCGTCAAAATTTTTTTTTTTTTTTTGATTTATATAAGCAGAACATGCTTAACTATATATATAATAATTTACTTTTTAATCATACAAATTACCGAAATATTCAAATAAAAGTTTTTAGAAAAAAAGATCGACAATCTAAAATTAGAACGATATGCATTTTCGTACAAAATGAAAAATCGTCAGTTATTTTCAGTTTCAGAACACGTGTAATTTGTACTAAAATCGTCACCAAATGTCACACAGATCGGCTGTGAAATATTATTTAATATATACTTATTATCATAAACTCGCAATTACAATTTCTCATAAAAATTAATGATGTTTGACCTTTAAATAAATTATGTCCGCGATTAGAAACGAATTAGTTCAAGCTGTAATTGTTAAAACTCTTGCGTTAATTGATTATAATGATCCAGACAAGCGGTATAAATATCGAAAACAGGCAATCCTTGATGATAAATCTCTTACAAAAGTTGAAAAATCAGAAGCAATAAAGATAATAACTGAAAATTATGACCGTGACAAAGTGCTTTATAAACGAGGAACAACAAGAATTTGTGAAAATTGTCATAAAGAATGTTATGCAACATTATATTGTGAAAAATGTATTCGAAGTTACTTGGAAAAAAAATTTTCGAACTGGACATCTGGAAATGATGAAATCGATGACTTAATACAAAAGTGTCAATTAGATTCAATTAGACCTAACAAGATAATTGAATGGATCCCGTATAAAAATTTGCAGAATATTAAATACTTAACTAAAGGTGGATTTTCCGAAATTTACATAGCAGATTGGATTAATGGATATTATGAAGAATGGGATTCTAAAAATCGAGAATTAAAAAGATTAGGCACGACATGTAAGGTAGTACTTAAAAGACTAGATAATTTTGTAAGTGCTAATAGAAGTTGGTTTGATGAGGTATTCAATTAAAAATTTTTTTTTTTAAAAATCACATGTATCATCATCAATTTGTTTTTTCTTAAAAAACAAAATTAATATAATACTTTGCATTCATTCATAGGCAAAATCTCATTTGGAAATAAGTAGTCGATGGGGTGATATTGTTAGATGTTTTGGTTTAACTCAAGATCCAAAGGATAAAAGTTACATGCTTGTAATGATTAGAATGGACATTGATTTAAGAACATATTTACATCAAAATTATAATCAAATTAAATGGAAGGAAAGGATTCAAATTACGTTCAATATAGTTAAGGCGCTTTATCGAATTCATCATGAAAATGCAATTCATAGAGATTTACATTCTGGGAATATATTACATTCTCCGAGAACTTATGGTTGGTATATTAGTGATCTTGGATTTTATGGTCCTGTTGACAAGCCTTTAAATAGCATTTATGGAAACCTTCCTTACATAGCACCAGAAGTTCTTGGTGGAAAAGAATATACTAAAGCATCGGATATTTATAGTGTTGGCATGCTAATGTGGGAAATATCATTCGGACAACAACCTTTTATTGACCATTATCGTAATTATGATCTTGTGACGAAAATAATCGGTGGAATGAGACCGAAAATTTTATCAGATATTCCTTTTGAATATAAAACATTAATGGAACAATGTTGGGATGCTGATTCATTAAAAAGACCTGACATTATTACTCTTTATAAAAAAGTTAATGAATTAAGAAAATTAACATTTCAAGATACATCGAATGAATCGAATAGTATATTTAAAAAAATTATTAGGATGTTTCAAAGAGAAAAAAATGGTAGTTCCTTATTTCAAAGTTTTAACAGCGGTTATAGTAAGGAAGTTACTTATACAAAAAACCAAATTTTTACAAGTAAAATTCATCATTTGGAAAATTTATCTGAACAAATCAATGTAATAGAAGTTAAAAATGTGTTAGAAGGTAAGATTCTAATATTCAGTCATATTAAAAGTCAAAATTTTTTGATAAAAAAATTAATATCGTTTTATTAAATAAATAACATAGAAGAACAAGAAGGTATCGTTATTAAAATTTTCTCGCTTCCATATTTAAATTTAAAGTATTTTAATAATATATATTTAAATGTGTATACGGAAAGCATTTCACAGTAAACCTTATGATTTTAACATTCCAGATGATAGTAAGTATTTATCAAAAAAAAATATTTTTTTTATTTATTATATCGTAACAATTTTAATCATTTTTTTCTTTTTTAGTTAACGATTTTATTAATGGTTCAGGTAGTAAAAGTCATTCATCAATAACAAGCATTAGGAATAGCGTTAGTAACAAGTTTAAAGGTAAACCATTTTATTATAAAAATTTATAATTTATTTTAAGCAAATTAATTAATTATCCAAAAAAAAAAAAACATAGAAATATTTAAATTACAAAAAAATTCAAATGAAGGTAGACAAACGATTGTATTTTTTTTTATTGATAATATTAATAATATAAAAATAACTATAATAATTTAAATTTTCTCAGATATTCAAAGTAATTCGAAAGGAAAAGCTAAACAGCAGAATAATGATAATGATGTATAACTAATTTTTTTAAAAAAAGTAAAAACTAACCCTAATCCATAACTACTAATATAATCAATGTTTTAATAACAAGAATTTTAAGAGTAGAAAACAGATATAGTTGCTGTGAACTTGCATCCATTTAACAATTTTATTTCTAAAAGAAAAAACCCTACCTAGGAAACATAAAATAAATACTTACGATAATCGGAAAATCAAATCAATTTATTAATCAGCTGATCTCTATTAATTTCATAACGTCCTTTTCAAGATACTTCCATTATAAATATGATTGGAGAGTTTCACAACAAAAATATGATAAGGTTTTCAAAATTTTTATGGTAAATAAGAAATTAACCTACTTATAATTTTAATGAAAGTAATTTCAGAATCACGTATTAAAAAAAATTATATTGACTTGAATACTTTTAAAATACTGTAGCTCAACAATTCGGTTAATAACTAAACTTAATCAGCAGTTTCAGCAGTTTGTAATGCAATTATTTTAAATAACTTAATTCATTTCGTTAATACTAAAAAAAGAAAATATTCCAAAACAAATCTCTCAAAATATTAAATATTAAATCTGTACATTATTTTAATTCAATACATTTCTGCCATAATTAATGTTACTAATGAACTCCAGCCCGTAAATGGATGACTATAATAGATAAAAAGGAAAGTTAATTAAAATATCACTTTATAATAATAAAAACAAAGTAAACCTTTACCTTCTTAAACCAACGCCCGTACTTTCAGAATATTGTTCCCATACATATCCAGTTCTTTCAAATTCCTATTACAATTTATTGATGTTCGTTAAATAAAACATTATAATTAGACGGTATTTTTTTTATTTTTATTTTTATTTTTACCTTGTAGACATTTTTGATGATATTGTTTCTCAATTCATCATATATTGTCTTTGCCTTTTCTTTATAAGGACCTTCAACAATTGCATAATTCTAAAAAAAATAACTACTTAGTCTGAAATAATTATTTAAACTTCTATATTCGAATTGCTTACTTTATATATTGAAGATAATACTAAATAATTGATATTTATCCATATATTTCCTTTCCAATAATCTTCTCCCGTATGAAAAAATTTATTAGATTTTGACAATGACCTTAATCCGTATCTAATGAAAAAAGAAAAAGTATTATTTAAAAGTAACGAGCGAAATATGACCTTCAAAGAGTAACTAATGCACCTTGACCATAATTCCTTTGGATTATGAATCATATCTAATATTGCTCCCAACTTTGGTGAATCATTAGGCAACAATTCTAACATCATCGGAAATAGCGACAAATATCCTTTATGACAAACAAATACTGATTCCTCTAAGTTAAAAGAATGAATTATATATCAATTATATTATATTAAATAAATTATTAAACGTCAAAAGCCTACCATCTTCATCGACTGATAAATCACAGAATGCATCATGTTCCTCACTCCAATGTAAATCTAGCATAAAAACATTTGCAAATAAATATACTCTAAAAATGTACATCATCTAAGAAAACAATAATTTACCATTTAAATTAGCAACGATATTTTTATATTCTTCTCCAAAATCTTCTGCATCATCTTCTTCTCCCAATCTTTCTGCAAGATCCTTAAGTGTTCTTGCCATAAATCCAACCCAGCACATAAGATCAACATGCAGTTCAGCAGGATGTGGTGGGGTCGGTCTAGGATAATCATCAAGTCCTAATTTTTGTTTAAAAAGAAAATTAGTCAATAAATTTTACAATTTCTATAAACTATACTAATTTACACACCAGAAGTTATGGTATGCCCAGGAGTTCGACCACGCCATCTATAAGCTTCTCTACTTTTTGCTTTTCTCCCCCATTCTTTAATTTCACCCGACTGAGTTCTTCTAAACCATTTATAATTTAACTTTAATTTCGGATAAATTTCGGATAAATAATTTTTTGCTAATTCTTTATCCAAAATATATCTTGATGAAATAATTGCTGGATCTGTTGTACTGGTTATATGCTCATTGAATATATGTTGTCCAATTACATCTAAAAAATATATATAGATTAATAATTATTTAACAAATTTTATAAGATTGAATGCGTAACATATACATGTAAAATTTCTAAATATCACCGTCTGCACCGAGATTAAGTTTGTTCTCTACATCATCAACTCTGTCAATAAATGCTTTTATTGCAAATAACAACGTAGGAGGATTCGCATAATAAGGATATTGTGTTTGAAATTCTACCGGAACCTAATAAAGAAAATGTTTAAAGTTTTCACAAAAAAAAAAAAAAAAAAAAAATAAATAAAAATTCTTTTCAATTCTAACCTTACTACGAGCTTCCTCTCCCAAAATCTGTTCTCGAGCGACCCATCCATCATCGTCAATTAAAGAAACCCAATGTTTAATAATTTCCAGACTAATAACAAAGAAATTTTTATAATTATAAAATATAAAATTTTCTTTTTACAATTAGATTTTCTAAGAAATATTTTGAACCTTAAATCATTGTCCCATATACCAATCAATAATTGATGAAAACCTTCATCCCTAGAATAACAAAAAGAAGTTCTTTAAACGGGTTCATTTAGAAATTAGATCATAAATACATAAATTTACCAATAAAATCCACGAGGAAAAAAAGGCCGAGATGGAGTTGCTGTAAATAAAGCTGAGGGTAATGTTAATTCTGGATCTACTTGTCGATATTTTAACCAAAATTCTACATCATCTTCGTCACTTTCTGTAAATGATCGATCGACAATGCTTGAACCATAGAAGTACCTAAAAAGAAGGAAATCATTTTAAAACAAATTCTTTTAAAAGGTAAATTAATTGAATGGAAAGATGAAATATACCCGATTCCTCCAATCAAATTGCTCAAACTGGTTTGTGCGAAATAAATTTGTTTATCACCAAATCCTTTTGCACTCAAACCAAAAGTTTTCTCAAATCTCAAATCAAATTCCTGAGAGCTAGATTCAAGACCTGATGTAAAACTTTCAACTAAAAAAAAAAATTAGATGAGTTTAAAAATAAAAAATACATCTTTGTTTATGACTTACCATCAAGGTGAACAGGCGTTGATTCCGATTGGAAGAATATATCAAACTAAAATAATTTCATTTCGATTAATACCATCAATTGTTAATTAAGATTAATTAAAACAACTTACTTGAAAAGGACCTTCAACCATATTTTGAAAAATAAAGAAATTTGAATCCTTTCTAACTTCATTATCCAATGAAAATAAATACGGTGGTGGAGGAATATGACCTTTTTGTGACTTATCTCTGGTTTTTTCGTACTTTATAAACAGATGACCTTGTAATAGTTCTATACATTTAAAAAATTATTTTATTTAATAATTTATCAATCAAATAAAAAGAATAGCTTATCGCCTTATTTACCCTTTGCACGCCAAACATCCTTTTCAGGAACTAAAAGTCCCCAATATTGAATTTTTGATAGATTAGTTGATGCTGGAACTCCTGGAGGAATATTCGTCGGCACCTTATTATTTAAATCTATATAATACATCAAAAAAAAAAACTTATTATGTACAACCTTTCTAATCAAATCAATAAAACATTAAAAAAGAATATTCTTAGGTGAATAATTTGAATATAAATTTTTACCATTGAGGATCTTAATTGAGAATTTTCCTAATTCTGGAGTTTCTCCTTTAAGTTCGACTGGACTATCCAAACCCTGTATGTAAAAAAGTTGAATTCAAAATTAATCTATTTAAAAAAAAAAAAAACTATAAAAAAAAAATGTATAATATCAACCATTTTATTCAATGAATTAACTAATTCGATTGAACCATCTCCTTCGAGTCCAAAATAATAAAGAATTGAAATTCTAGAAGGTACTGAAATTGAAAAATACATTATTTATATTATGATTCAATTTGCAATTAGGATGAAAAAATTTTTTTACCTTTGTCATTTATCGGATTTCCGGATATACGAATCGCCCACTCACCACCTAAATTAATAAATGATTTACCTTTTTTTTTTTTTTAAAAAAAAAAAAAATTATTTTATACCATGATTTCCTCCCGGGATTTTTAATAATTCAGTTTTTAATTTAACGTTATTTTTACTATCAGTTATAGTTTGTATAGCGAAATTACGACCATCATGTTTTTTAAAACTATATTCATCTAATTCGTCTCTTTGATCACAAGAATGTCTAATATCTTTTTTTTTTTAAAAAAAAAAAAGAAGAGTGTTAAAGAATAAAAAGTTTTTGTATTATAAAATATAGTAAAGTATATAATGGTAAAGGATACGTTTAAAATCGGAGATATTCTCAATTCCAAACCACATTAATCCTGTCAATAAAGATTCAGGCAAACGTGGCTTTGTACCGAAATATAAATTTGGTCTATAAGTTCCCCATAATAATGATTGATTTGAAGCTGCCATTACACTTGCTCTATGATGCAACATATCAATTTTCGATTCAACATTATCTTCGGAAAAAGCTAATACTAGTGAGATATAAGTTATATAAAACAGAAATGTTAAGATTGATATACCATTAATTAATTTTAATTTGGAATTAAGAGTAATTTGCATGATAAAATTTTCTAGTAATGGAGGAAGAGGACAACCAAATTATAGTGAAAGAAGAAATTTTTTTTTTTCAAAATTTTTGAATCTTAACATGTGAGATCGTTAACCATATCGGTATCATTTTCATTGTAACAATTAAGACGGAAATGAGTGGCGTAGGATCGACCATTTGTGTTATGTAAAATCCGTTGATCTTCAAATTTTTCCAGAAAAAAAAATCCGTTACAAAAAAAATTATTATATAGAGGATTTTAATCAATTTTAAATAATTGTTTAACACGAGTTCTGCAAGTTGTTGCAATAAATTTAATTTGAAATGTCACGATTAAACAGTTGTTTCACAAATCATACATAATACTACACAATGGTCGATCCTGGTTTCCGTATCACTCTTCCTTAATTAGCATCAATAGAGATCATTTTTGTTATAGTA